CAACTGCACACAAATGTGTACAGGCACCTGTACACACACACACACACACACACACACACACACACACACACACTTCAAAAACACCATTGCTTTATGTTCACCGATAGGGGTAAAGCGGAAATAACCCTTTTAAACCCATCTTGTGAGATTTTTTTGTCCACTGCCCCTATTTTTCAGGGAGGTCTCAGAGCTTCTCCAGTCAATTTTAGATAATGTTTTCCAGTACTACTAGTCACACAAACAGTCTCATCTCATCGATTAAAATATTTATCCCATGTAAATATAAAAGAATTTGAATTTCCTTTAACTTTAAAATTTCTCTTCTCTCCGAAAGCTGATAAACTTTCAGAGGCCTGAAGTTTGGAAGGATATGTGGCCAGTTTATTTTCTCTCTCCTAGCTGTTCTTCCTCCTCCAGTAAGTCATTAGGTATGGTTTTTTACCTCACAAGGGATGGAAAGGGAGAGGAGAGATGGTTCCAGAAAGGGTTTCCTTTCCCCTCAGTAATTTAGACTCATTTGTGGCAAATGCAGGGTGCTATCTTTTGCTTTTCTTATGTGCCAAAAGAAAACTCTCTTTAACTGTGTAGGAAGGAATCAAATTATTGGCTGACAGTCCCAGCTCTGGGCTGAATATAAGGAACAATTTTTAATCATTTTATTGAGGGGCTTGCCAGAATTCTGTAGGAAAAGCAAGCATTAAACAATCAAGTAAAGTCAGGAAGACACAGCAGTAGTACAAGAGCATGCTGTAATTCTCATTGTACTTTAAAAATGAAATACTGGCAGCAAAAAAATTTTTGAGTCATTTTTCTCTAAATACAGATTCAGGAAGTGCACTCTTAAAATAAATTCATTTTTGGAGTTTCATCTTAACTGTAGCTGCAGACCAAAAGACAGACTTCTCTAAGTAGAATTATCCTGCATTTTCAGTAGATAGGACCATGTTTAACAACACCTGTGTGCATATTTATTATCGCTGGCTGAAATAAACTCTAATAATTAACAGCAAGAACAATGAGGATTAGCTTTTTATAAAGAAATGATTAAATATGAAACTTCAAAATGGCAGTCAAAAAAGCATTTTATTTTAAGCATGCTTAATTGGCAAAAATTGTAGGCAAAAATGAAATTGTATGTTACTTACTGACATTTTTGTAAGTAAAGTAAGGAGATTTTTCCTCCCTTGATAATCAAATATTAAAATTAAAATCAAAACAACACCAAAAATATTAACTAAAGAATAAGTGTGAATTAATGAATCATCAATAATGTTAAAGCAGGATGTATTTACCTTTAACCTGATACCAACATATTTCATATAGTCAAAATGAAAAAGTAGGGAGTCATTATTAATTCATAAAAGGACTCATTACAAGCTTCATTTGAATAGTTACCTCTCATTTAATTTTAAAAATAGTATCAATTAAAAAAATCAATTTAGAAAAACATACCTTTTAAAACCATATTGTATAAACTTGTATCGTTTGAGTGCACAACACTGTGCTCAGTGCTATGGGAGTACAAAAATAAAGTAAAAGACAGTTTTCTTCAGAAGCTTATAATTTCACTGAGAAGGCAGAATAGATTCTCAAAGCTCTAGTTAGTAGAGAGCACACAAGGAGTGTTTTAGTAACCACTAGAGCATTAAGGGTCATTGGAATTTAGAGGTCACAGTCAAATCATGGTCCAGTGGGAGGTAAGCTACAGTTGGGTTTTGAGCAATATCAGATTAAGATGTATGGGGGCAGAATTGGTATGGACCATGCAAGGTAAGGATAGTGGGAAGCTATGAGAGGGGACCAGCTAATCAAAACATCAGTGGATAGTAATGATCATAATATATAGAAAAAGATAATGAGACTAACTTTCCTCATGATGAGGTTCCACATCGGAGAGAATGTCCCATGCAGAAAGCTATAGCTACACTTCAAGAACCAGAAACATGGGCGGCACTGAAAAGGACAGTGAGAAAAATGCTGATAAGAGAAACGAGTTGTTGTGCTTTTGGAAAAAGCCATCATTACATCTGAACATCTTAGAGATGGTTCTTTGGGACTCAGGAGAAAGGGAGGGAAGATCAGGTTTGGAAAAGAGAGTCTCATTTTGGGACTAGAGCAGGTGAGGTTGTCCTGCAAGTCTCCTCTGCTTCTCAAGGCTAACCTAGCATATCAGTTAAATCATCCTTAAGATATTAATTAGTAACTAGCTATCTTTACTGAGGGGAATTGAATTTAAATGAACACACTAGAAAATCTGTAATTTTGTTATCCTTTTTTTTGAGGGGGGGTAGTTCAAGCTATATTCAATATGCAGTTATATGTGCCAGTAACTGTGTTCATCAATCTATAGTGAAGGAATTGGGGAAAACATAAAGGGCAATAATGGAGATATTATCCAGAACTCTTAAAATTTAAAGATTTCAGTGAGCTGCAACTGTAGCTAATTTTAAGGCCAGCCCTCCTCTGTTCTCTCTCTCTCTCTCTCTCTCTCTCTCTCTCTCTCACACACACACACACACACACACACACACACACACACTTTCTTATTATATTCTAGATCATTTTTCCTCTGTTACTTACTTTTAAACTTTATTATCTTAAAAAAATCTTAATGTATGTGCATTCTTGTAAGCCATCTCATACACTTTTTGAGCAAGGCAGAAAATAAATAAAATCAAAGTAAGAAAACTTCACCCCAAATCCTGCCAACCCAAAGAATCGAATGTTTTTCATTCATATTTTCATTCAACTTTTATCTGTATGAATACAGAGTTTGTATGTATTTGTAGTCAGAGCATTTGAGTTAAAAAAAAGAAAAATTATTCTCTTTCAAGGAAAAATGGCACAAAGGGCTGTAAATACTTCAGGGGTCTTTTACATAGAATCCCTGGTGGCTTAATTGTCACCTCCATCCTCTTAGTGGAGTACAACATCAGGTAGGCAGCTTGCCCAGATAGCAGCTATGTTTAGCCAAGGTGGATTGTATGGTAAGAGGGAGGAGGCCTGGCCATATGCTGTCTGACTCATCCCCTCAAGCACACGTGTCAGTTTCTGCTACAGCCGGGACAGTGTCCTTCATAAAACAAAGCAGGACTGCAAAAGTAACTTTCCTAGGCTGCAACCTTTAACGTCCATAGACCAAATTTCAGAAACTAACAAGTTCTGGGAGTCATCAAGCCTTCAATAAATCACATGCATAATAACATCATTATTACTTGCTTTTGGCCCTCACACAATTGCCCTTTCTCTGGTTTGGAGCTGCAGCTCACGCTTCTGTGCAGTGTTTGATTCTTCCCCATGCTCCACAGCAGTCTGCTGGGGCTACAAGAGGAATGTTAAACTGAAGCTACTTTGACTACTGCTTCATTCCCTCGCATTTTGTGGTCAAAGCTATAATATATGATATGTAATGTACAGAATTTCATATCAGAGCTGGTCCAGAATAATTTTCAGGATCCCTTTTTTAGGAGTGGGGAGTAATCAGCAAGAGATGGGAGATAAACGCACAACATACTTCTGAGCATGGATTTTATTCATTTCTCTACGATTACTGGCTCTATGACCACAGACAATTTAATTTCCCAGGGCCTCAATTGCTTCATCTTCATTTTGGGTGTATTTGTGTACTCCTCAAGGTTGGTGGGTTTCACCAGGGTGAGGAACATGGGTGGCACAGTGCTTGATCTAAGCAAGCAATTAGAGCAAGTCTGACAGCTATTTGCCAATGTCTGAGAGAATTGAAAATGGGCTCCTTGTAGCTGACATCGCAGTGAAGACACTGCTCTTGTTAATGTGGATACAGGCTCATCAATCTCTGCCTTCTTCCTAGTAACACTGACTACCTAGATCACAAAAATGAGTTTTCTACAGAGGCCAAACAAAGCCATTTAAACAATACCACATGTGCTAAGTTTGAATCTTGACATTACCTAACTCCAACTTCCAAGCAAACATTGTTTGGCTCAGGGAAGTGAACATCAAGGCATGCACGAAGCTGCATTATCAATGAATGGATAGTGAACACATGGCTACATAGTACCCTCACTTATGAATGGGCTAAAAAGAGCTGGGAACTCAACTGTATTTGAACCAGATCACATAATTGTGACTTGATCCACCTTCTGATGATGTAGCCATAGAAATTTAATTTCTTGAAGCACTGGTTCATGTAAGCTCATTGGGCAGCTTTAGAGCTACGTTACTTTGGGAAAGTCATATAACTTTTGAGTGCCTTATCTGTTAATTTGAACCCATAATATCAGCAGCCTCCTTTCTAGGGCTCTTATGAAGTTTATTTGATGTGTCTGCAGGCTCTTTGTAAATGGTGCTACTCTAGAAATATCAGCAGTTATCATTATGCTCTTGTACAGGTTTTTGCTAGTTATTGGCTGATTGACTTTCTCCAACATTGTTATTCTTGTATAACTGAACTGAAATGTCAGCCATCCCTACCTACAAAGGATATTAAATTTTAGGGAATAAAGTCACTTCTTCACTTGCTATTATGGTAATCATTATTCATGATTAGGAAAAATTTTGTTAGTTGAGATATGATTTTAGAGAGGCCTGGGTTTTTTCTTTGTGCTTTATTCCCAAATGTACTCCTGATAACTTGCTAACAATGAAAAGTTCCGAAACTGGGAATTCACTTCACTGTCACTGTTTTAATGGAATTCCATTTTAAGCTCTACCATTCATATATACCTTATTAGGAACTGAGTTCATCTAATCATTTTTATAAGTTTTCAATAGAGGAAAGGAAATGGAACATAAACTAATAAGGGTGAGGGCCAAAGTTTCAGAAATAAGTTTAGAAAGAGACCACAGTGGATATGCTGATATTGGAATTTTTCTCTATGTGGGTGGTAGACTATTTGGACTGTGTCTAATGATTAATGTTGCTTTTGTTCTGTAGGTGACCAAAAACTTATGTAGAAATACATCTCTATATAAGAACCAGAATACTTGGGGTTTAGGAAAGAGAGAGAAATGGGTCTTACCCAACCGGTCTTGTGTCTTCAATGGCTCTGTCCACTGGGATCAAATCACTGAGGTAAACATTGAAGTTTCCTTCTTTCCATCTTCTTTCTGCCTCCTTTTCCTTTCCATGGGGAACTACAACAGGACGTCCAAACTGACCTGGAGCTTTTGGGTCCCTTGGAGAAACTGTCATATCTATGCTTAACACCTGGTGCATTTTGCTGTCTTCAGGTAAAAGGGTTTTTGTATGACTTTGGTTGAGTTCTTCAGGCTGGGCCTTGTCAGGTAAGTTGATTCTTGCTGGTTTCAGGCCCCCAGCTAAGACTTGATTGGTTTGAGACACTGTTGCTCTCTGTTGAGCAAGTGAAGGGAAAGATGTCCCACTTCTATTCCTGGAAATGTGTTTCCCTTGGCTTTCGCCCAATATTATAGGAAATACAGTTTTGCTTTTAGGATTGGGGACCTCTTTGGTGCCTCTCTTTAGCTCCTCTTCCTTGGTTATAACCACAACATGGCTTTCAGAAAAATTGAGTTCCTTCCCACCGGCCACTTTGGCTTCATCATCCTTTGGCAAGCTTCCCAACAGTGTCTCATTAATAGAATGCTTCTTTAAGCCATTTAAATTGGCAATGAACTTGGAAAAGGGAAGGTTTTTATTGGCTTTGTGTTTATATGCATTTAGTTCTTTGCTCTGAGCCTCAGTTTTATTTAAGACGATGGCTTCCCTAGGTTTTGGCACTGACGGGCTGGCAGGGTGTATCCTCTCATTTGCTACTGCCTGTGACTGCTGCTTTGATCTGTTAGGATTAAGCCTGATGGTCACATTCAGGTTCCCTTCAGCGGCTTGTTTTGATGTGTCACTGCTGTGACCGTGACTCTTCTGGGCCTCCTGGTTTATACCCACAGGCCCTGTGTGTACAGATGTTTTGGGCAATGGAGTTCCTCTTCCTGCTATGAATGGGGTTTTCTGAGCCCCCTGAGTTATAGTTTGCTTTGGTGTCACAGAGTGAGGATAGACTTCAGGTTTGAAGTCTCGCTCCTCTGTCATCTGCTTGGTAAAACTCACTGGGAAAGTCTGCATATGTACAGGATGCCACAAAGGTGCAACCTTAACCCTTCCTGGGGCCTTCTGCATTTTTCTTTCCCTCTGGGTTTGGTCCCGATCATCTTCATCCTTGAGCACACTCTCCTCAGTCTTTCTAAAGTTCTTGCCCCATACGCCCTTCCCATGTCCCCTCAGTGGGGGCTTTATTTCTTTGATACTGCTGTAAACGATCTTCATTTGGTCCGGCTGAACTCTGAACCCTATTCGCTCCCTTCTGACGATGTCTTCCTTGAGGACCCTAGTGTTGATCTCACTGAATGAGAGGCGGAGAGCTGCCATGTCAAAGAGCAGCCAGATGACAGAAGCTACAAATATAAATGCCAGGACTCTCCCACTTCCTCGGAAAAACTTTCGGACCTTGTTCATGGTACAAAGGCTTCCCTTGCAGCCTGCCCTCCCTTCAAGCCTGCTTACCTGGAGTGGAGAGGGGGCTGAAGTAGCGGCAGCAGCAGCAGCAGCAGCAACAGCAGCAGAGTTGCCAGAAAGCGGCCCCCTCCCCTGAACACAGCAGGAAACAGCGGTCCAAAGGGAAAGCTCAGTTCCTACCGCTTGTCAGTCTCTGCCTGCGTGGCATTTCGTAGCAGAGCAGCATCTGTGCCTGCTCCGCGGGCCCCTGGCTAAACCCGGCCAAACACTGTCCTTAGGTCACTCTGGGAGCAGTCGGTTCCAGCCACTAGACAGTTAAACATATCACTCTGTCTTGTCTCCGGGAGCCCCGTGTCCACCTTCCTACAAGCCCAAGAAAAGGTGGGGGCCGGGCTGGGACTGCTGCTTCTCTCCTCCCAGTCCTCAGCCTGCACACTGTAACTCAACACCACTTCTCATAAGGAAAACATTTCAAGCCATTACCCAGAAAACTTCATTCAACTCTCACCTTCCGTGTTATGTGAGAGTGAGTGTGTTTTCAGGGCAATTAAAGAGAAAGAAAGCTATCTCATTTGGAGAGCATGTGTTCCTGGTTTGTAACCCCACCTACCCTATTCCTGCTTATTAACCCTGTTGTACCCAAGTCTCTGAATGATCTGCCTGAGCAATCAATCACCGACCTTGATGTTTCTGCTTTAAGAGGTGGCAGCTTAAAGAAGGGGGCCTAGCATAACCTCAATACCAGAAGTGGAGGTATAATTATTCAGAAGTCTTCCTTGAGGGGGTATTAAAATGTTTCTTTGTAAGTCAATTGTTTTTTAAACTAGCTTATTTTTATTATTTCATTTAATAGATGCACACCTAACTTATCATATTGATTGATATACGGTTTCTAAACACCTATTTTCAGTACCTGTCTTATCATAGACCTTAACAGCTTGCTGATTGCACCAGGACTTGGACCTGACTTTGCATGCCTAATAGACTGGTTCCCGCATAGCCTTTACCTTAGAATCACTCTGAAGAAGTCTCCCCACTTTCTGATTCATTGATGGGGGAAGAGGGTAGAAATGACAGTTGGTTTGACATTGTGTTTTTAAGAAGCTTCCCAAGTCTTTCTAATGTACAGCCAAAGTTGAAAAACACTGGTCTAGAATGAAATGCCTCACTATTATTTATTTAGTTTTTTGTTTTTGTTTTTGAACAGTGCCCATAATTTTTGTGAAATTCCTTCCCAGACCAAGTAAAAATTAACAAAAACTACATATTCCCAGAACAAGTGAATCAGAATCTGCATTTTAACATCACCTAAGATAAACATTGTCCATAAAGTTGGAGAAATACTGCCCCAGGGCACTGTTCTCTGAGGGGCTCTGAGTGATCTGCAGACAGTGATGCTGCTTACTATCTAGTGTTAGGAGGCTTATAGCATCCCTGCTTTGGAATAAAATTAGGCTCCCAAAGACATGGGAAGGGAAAAAGGAAAGATTCTGAATTCTCTATACTTATGCATTGCTTTCTGCAGCATCTGGCCTTTAAGTTTGTACTTTACCTCAAGGGAGGGAGCCCAGATAAATGCAGCTATGGTAACCTGTTTCTTGAATCCCTGATTCTCCTTTTTATTGAGTGCTTGCTCACTCTGATTTGGAATATCTACATGGATGGCTGCATTGGTAGCTCAGCTCCTTCTGCCATGCATTCCTGCCTCGATTCATCCATCCTTTCAATATTTGTTGAGTGTGTTCCCTGGCTCAGGGATATTGAATAAAGGGACATAGTTCTTGTCTTTGAAATTTCACAGTCTATTTGTGGACACAGACAAGTAGGCACGTATTTAATACACAATAAGTGATATGAGAGAATAATATCCTGGATTCTATGGGAATGTAGCTTAGTTTTGGGATGCATGGATGATTTTTGAAGAAGGTATCCTTAGACTTGAGGGATGGATAAGAACACAATTTTCTCTGCTCTTCTTGTGGTCTAAGAAAAGAAATATTAGTTGGATGGTGAAAGGCAGCTAAATTGGCAAAAGCATACAAGTGAAGAGAAAGTGTAGTACTAAATGGGAAGCATAAGTTTCTGAGGACCAGAATGATTGGGAACACAGGCTTTAGTGTTTGCTGGCATTTGTGTGTATGCACCCAGTATGTCCCAAACTCTTTGCTAAGCTCTTTCCATTGAATATGTCATTCAGTCTTCACAACAATCCAATGAGGAAGATACAGTTATAAATATCACTTTGTAATCAAGGAAACAAAAGCTTAGGGAGGTGAAGCCACTCGAAGTAGATATTAGAGGAGTTGAATCTCAAATAAATGACTGTTCGATGCTACAGTCCATGTGCTTAAACACCACACAGTACTGCTTCTCTAGCTGTATAAGTTTTCAAGTTAGTTAATTTTATGTATTTACTCAGCAATAAAAAAAATAATTTCTGCCTTGCAGATTAATGTGAAGATTGGACAGCATGATTCAAAGTTTTTGTTATATTGAATGCATGATAGTCACTGTCACTAATACTGTTGCTGGTCCTTTGTGGTGATAGGAGTGTGGGGGTACAAGTCAGAGGCAATATACCAGCTTCTCTCAAAAATCAAATAGAAGATTGATGACTAACATGATTTTAACACTGGGGCAAGAAGTATACCTGAGAGGTTTTTTTCCTATTTCTTTTTATTGTGGATTCAATCAATGAACAATTGTTCACTAACAATTAACTACATGCCTGAAACATGAATTAGGAAACATTGTTTTTACTCCTAATGATCTTAAAACGCCACCGAATAGAACACCTTCCACACAAAACACAGCACAACTATTTAGGATCCATGTTCTGAAATAAAGTGAGATTTTTTTTTTAAGTATCAGAATAAGTGGTTTGCATTATAATATTGTTTGAAATACAAAAATAGAATGCTTTGTTAATTAAAAACAAGCAAACAAACAAAAAACCAAAAAAAAGTAACCTATATGCAAACCCTAGAGGTTAAAAATAAAAATTTTACAGAAAAAACAACAACAAAAGAAAATAGAATGCTTTGCAAATATTTTACTTACAAGATTTAAGTATTGTCCAACCACATGTCCACCCCAAATGGCAGCTTGAATTACTCAAACTCTTGTTAGAAGAGTTAACACTTGTTTCATCCTTACTATGCTTGATAGCTTTAAAAGACTGCCTGAAAAATATCCTGAGTCTTCTATTATATATTGATTTGATCTAAGAACAGTGATTTATTTCTCTCTTTCTCTGTCCTGTCCTTACTAATACAAACATAAATTGTTTGCAACAAGAGAGAAAAATGTTAAGAAAAGTAGAGTCTTGGCTTATCTATCTGGAGTCAAGCTCCTGATTACCTCTGGGTTATATAACTGATATGGAATTCAGAATAAGACAAGAAGTGTACAGAAGGGAGGAAAGAAGCATTGACTAATTCTGCTATAAAAGGAAGAGTGGATTAATGTTTAGACCTGGTCTAAAGTATTGATTTTGCCATTAATAGACATGACCATGGATACGTTACATATGAAAGAGCTCCTCTAAAGGTCTCTTCCCAAACTCTCTTCCATCTTTTCCCCTGGTGAGTCTATGAGAATTCACATGGATGACAGAAGGTGGTTATAAGCAACACTGCAGACTCAACACTATGGATCCTCAGGGACCAAGTAACGATTTCTGGTGGCCCGCAGCAGCTAGCCACCTCTCCTCCTTTTTTTTCTTTTGTCTGTACATGTGATGTTCAGCTCAATGACAAAGTATGGATAGAAAAGAATAGAAAAAAAAGAAATTAAGAAATTTTACCTTTACTGAAAGTCAACACACCCATTATCCAATAGATGACCTTTCATATTGGTATATCATGCTGTTTTTTTTTATTTTAGTTGTATTAATTTCCATGTTACCAGCAAAAAATTAAATACTTTGGTGAGTTGGCTATTTAAGGCACTTCTGACTGTCATCCCAAATGGTAGCTTTGGCTGGTCAAGTTTCTCAAGAATCTGCACAAACTTAGTTGGAGTGGATATCAGCCTAAATATCTAGTTATGAAGTGATCCCTGGGAGGCTTTTGTAGGGGTTATTCTAATTCTCATTCTGAGTCTACCTGTGTAGTAAAAATTAAAAATATATATTTTAGTTTCTTCTTCTATAAAATGGGTATATTAGTAGGAGGACATAACCTTTACTCTACTTGGTTGCTGTTAGAATAATCATATTAATAGCAACCATTCATTGAGAATTTACTGAGTGTTTGTCACTAGATTATCCCAGACCAGATCATAAACTGTTCAGCAGGACAGCTCTATGTATAATTAGGGTGGGGTCTGTACCCATGTTCTACTTCCATGGCACATAGCTCTGAATCATTCTTATTGTTAATCAATAAACATGTTTTTATTTCTATCGTCAGATTTCCCCATTAGGAACACAGAATCTTAGAAGTACTGGTTGGTTCCACTTCTCTGACTTTGCACCCAAAGTTACTCTCTCAGGGTATTTGAAAGTTTCTTGATTATATGAGTATAGTCTAAGTAACTAATGGCTATTTTCTTTTATAGTATTTACTCAACAGCTTATCCTAATTATAAGGATGTAAATGAAAAATATAATTAAACATACATTTTACAGAGAATAATGATCATCTATAGATGCATTATTCAATTTGAATTAGATTTAAATTTGGGGATTCCAGTTAAAGATAATATAGGAGGAGGATATGATTTGTTTGGGAAATTTAAATGGAAAAGCTGAGTAAATATTAAATATCATTGTGCTTTCTTATTTTAATATGGTAATTTTTTTCCTTCAGAATTTTTTTTGAGAAAAAAACAAATTGTATTCAATAGGATAATACTACCCTGTGAACAAGACTCACACACAAAAAAGAGAAGGTTGAAATCATAATTTAAAGGCTAGAGTTATTGAAAAATTCATAGGTAGACTACAAATATAAATAAGAATCTTATTTCATTTTAACAAGTTCTTTCAGTGAAGATGCGTGAATATAACTCAGGCAGTCATTTAAGCATTGGCGTATGTCTATTTTTTTTTTTTTTTATCACTTTTGGAAGCTGGTTAGGAAATGACCTCACTCCCTAAGGCCCAGAGAATGAGGGCTGCTGTGACCTTCCCTTAGATATTTGTTCCTGAAAAGAGTTCCAACCATGTTAATGGTTGTAAATCATAATTAATTAAGCCTGAGTTTAAAGAAAGCAAGGCTTCTATCCTTGAAAGATAATATACTTTGCTTTGACCTCAGTTTTCATTGATATTTGCAGATTGGAACCAAGCCAACATTTGTGCTTTATAGGTCCTTGGCCAATTTTAATTTTTTAATATTTTATTTTGATTAGGAAAAAATTTAATAAAGTTAAAGGTAAAACATTAATTGAGTATCTTGGACAAAGAACTGTGCTAATTATCAGAAGGAAGAAAACGAGAAGATCCTTAAAAAACAAGTTGTCAATGAGCCACACCTGTAGCTCGAATACAAAGTTA